GTGAGAAGGTGGTTTTGGATTGCGCCAGAGAATGAGAATTTACTAACACTATGTTTGGTTGAAGGATCTTGAAAGAAAAAAAAAGAAAATGATTTTCTTTCATTCTTCCCACCGAAATGGGAAAAATTTAGTTTTCCTTTCATTTAGTATATTTGTCTTTTTCATTTTCTTTTTTTATAACATTTCTTTTCGAACCAAACTTGAAAAACTGTTTCGCACTTCATTTTCTTTTTCTTTCTTTTTCATATTCCTTGAATCAAACATAAGATATTAGAACATCAATTTTTTGCATGGAATACCTTAGGAACTCCAAGCACGTCAATCGTATGATGATGATTTGAATGCCATGATGAAGACCAAGTTTAGTGAGGAACATATTGAGTCATTGTTTTGTTGTAGTAGTTGAGATGGCAGACAACCGATCACAGTCATTGCCCTATTTTATAGGGAGCATATGTTCTATATATGTTCCCCTGCACCGCCGGACCATCGCCACACAAATGATGCTTTGTTGATAAATGAGACCAACACATGCAAGCATAATGCCATCTTCATCAGATTTCGCAAACAAATAAATACGGAGTAAGTAATTATTTCAATATCAAATATGTGTGTATTTTTATTTTGTATTAGTGTGATTAGTTACATAGATCCAGAACTTTTGAGTAAAGTTTTTTTGGTCATATTATGAATCATCAAAATATTAGAAATATTAGTATATAATTTTCATATAAATTTTAAGATACTTTTCTATGTACTCCTAGAATGATTGAAAAAAAAATACTCCATGGGTCTTCCTTTTTTGGCCTAGACAGTAAAATTACATTTATTTACATCCCATTTTTAGTTGATCACACTTCTTATTTTCTACTAATACTTGCTCCACCTCGGATATTCGACACGTGGAGAACTCCATCATATGTGGCGACACGTTTGTGTTAAACGTGTGAACAAAGAACATTCCACATTCCATGGCCAATTTGGCCATCCCCTCCATATTCAATTCGAAGCGCAAATTAAACCTTAAATTTCATTATATTTTCTTTATTTTAAGTAAAATGTTATTTGTATTCTAAGAATTTGTCTTCCATTTAGTACACCGCAGGGATTCACTAACATTTTTTGCTAGTATAATGCTAATTTTTGTTAACGCACCAATACTATTTTGTATCAGTGTGAACTATCAAAATGTTGTACACACTTTTGGTGTACAAATATGATACAAATTTTGGGGTACATGTAGCATGTTCCTTATTTTAATTTCAGATCCCAATCGAGATTTTTAAGGCATGTAAAAATGAGTTTTTTAGTCTCATTCACTCTTGAATTTATAAAAAATTATAGAGATTCCTCATACACTTTAAAAATTATACCAATGTTTATTTTCTAGATTTTTAAAAATATTGCACCAAGAAACTAGCGCAAAAAATTTAAAGAATCATTTTCCTTTATTCCATGCATTATACTCCAAAACAAAAAAAAAATTGAATCCCTTGACTCCATTGGAGATCGATGAAAAGAGTTACGAGCATTATAAGTTACTCCATCCATTCAAAAATATTTTTTTGATTTGATTTTTTATAGTCTCCAATGTTGCATTTTGCCCATTAGAATTAATATTTAGATATAAATATATTTTACAAAAAATTGATATTTTTCAAAACTACGTGTCAATAAGAATATATTGATATTAAATTTATATCATAATACTATATATTTTTTCCATATATCGAAATCAAAGTTTACAAAATTTAACTAAGAAGAGTCAAATAAGAAGATCATTCATGAAGAGTAGAAAATATAACAATAACAACCAAGTAGAATTTTATAACAACATGGTCTGGAGAGTCAATAAAACCAAAAAGTCATTGGTTAAATTTGACAATAAATTTAATGTTTTCAAATTTAAAATTATATTATCTCACGATAATTTGCAAAATCATTACAAAGCGTTTTCTAGTAAATTAAATTTTAAAAATGTTAAATACACCGTATAAAGATTGAAATTGGCAAGAATAGGAGCCCCGAAATTGAAATTTCCGCATAACAAAACGACAACTTGTGCTTTCTCATCATCATATAAATAGAGGAGATCATTTTGCAGCGTTCTGCAACATTTAAAGCCTGGAGCTGCTCATCAAAAGCTTCCTTCTTTATTTCATTAATTATTAAAGAAAAATGGAGTTCAAGAGAAATCTGGGCCGCCGGTTTCTGAGAACCTGCAGAATCGGAAACCCTTGTATGACCGATTGCCGTATCTCAACATCTAGGGTTGCCGTCAAAACCCGTATTCCGCCGGGTCCCGAAAGAATCCCCCCGGATTCGCTTGACGATTCCGTGTTCCGCCGCTTCATGCACCGCCGCCCCGGATACGAGCCGGCCGGTTTGCCTCCCTTCCCGGTGTCCGGCGAGAAGCTGATGGAGAAACTCCGGGGGATGGACATTTCCAGCGACAGGATCCGGCTGGACGGCCTCGTCCCTCCTCCTCCGGAATGCAGTCTGACGGTGGTTGACGCGCGGAAGCTCCTCCGGCTGTCGCAGCTTGAAGCGGTTAAAGCGAAGCTCAGGGGAATCGGGAAAAATCACATTTCGTATTCCCAGTTTATGGGGATTTGCGGGGACGGCTGTTCAAATCCCGATCAAGGACTTGAAATCGCCAAAACGTTGGACGACTCCGGCGCCGTCATCGTTCTCGGCAACGTCGTTTTCCTCAAACCTCACCAGGTCAGTTTTCCAGCCACATATCCATGTCTCTTTCACATAGTTATCTTCATTTTCATCTGCTAAATGGTACGATTTGTACAAGAATATAAGGAATTAAGCATCAATTTCTCCTCAAATTCTGCCCAGATTGTCTCGATGGAGAACTGATATGGTTTCTATGTGTTGTTGTGTGTGTTTTTCTTCGACAGGGAAGTGAATCAATCAAAGTTTCGACAGATCTATAAACGATGAGATGGCGGGATCAATGAGCGCAGATTGTTTTACAACCCACACTTTGATTGATTAATTAATTAATTAATTGAACACAAATTATTTCATAACCAAACCACTAATCCAATTTAATTCTAAGTCATCATTCCCTAACCCAAGGGCTTCCATTCTTTACTTTATTCAATTCAACTTTAGGCAAACGCAGAATGAAAATACTGCACAATATCATGAATTGAAGCCATTATGTGCTTATAATCGTTTTACCCAAACATCTGGCAATTCGCATACATATATTCGTGTTCTATGATTGCAGGTTGTGAAAGCCATTGAAGGTCTAATCCCAAAGCTGAATGAGGAGGAGGAGAAGGATGGTGATCCCAGAATGGATGAATTTCAGAGCATGGAGAAGCAAATGAAAGCAATAGAGAAGAAAGCAGAATCAATGGCAAGAAGGGAGCTTCGGGCAGGGTTGGGCTACCTGGTGATTCAGACAGCATTGTTCCTGAGGTTGACATTCTGGGAGCTGACATGGGATGTAATGGAACCCATTTGCTTCTTTGTCACCTCTGGCTACGCCATGGCTGCTTATGCTTTCTTCTTAAGAACCTCCAAAGAACCATCTTTTGAAGCCTTCTTCCAAGCCCGCATTGGCGCGAAAAAGAAACGATTGATCCAGCTTCAGGGTTTCGACACCCACAAGTATCATCAGCTCAAAAAGATTTGTGATCCCTCTTCTTAATTCCCTGTGATGGTACGATAATAACATAATAACTTCACACAAAAGCTTTTCCAGATTCTTCTTTTCCTCCTCCTGCAGTCTTTGGCTCCATTTGTCGAACAAAGTTTACATTTTGGCTGGTGCAGCGGCTCTGTATGTATATTATTGATGAAGAGATTGAATGAATGTGCAATGACTTTGAGTTTTTTTCCTCATCACTCCACTTCACCGGCAAAAAAGAGCTCAATTCTTCCTATTTTGTGGACTGAATTAATAGTCTTTTAGTCACCCTTTTATAAAGAAATGTTAAACACCATGTTTTCACTTAAAAGGTTATTAAACAATTTGAATGCAGCACTCAAGGATATAAATAAACTCCACATTTTTTCTCCAATCTTAAAATAAATTTCACATTTTGTTATTTTCTTTTAAAGAAAGAAATGCATAGCTCCCAGCATTAATCTTCCTTTTAAACAATTTCTAAAAACGCATCTCTTAATTTATTTTTTTTAGCACTTTCTTCTTCAAATAAGTGAAATCAAACTATTAAGCTTATTATGTAGGAGTAATTTACCTAAATAGGACTAAAACATAATGACTTTCCCAAAATAGGATCATATGTTTTTATTTCCGAATGTAGGACCTTTGGTCATTATTCTTTAGTCATTATTCAAGTAATGTTTATCATTGCTGGACATTATACCTTCCACGAAGACATTATTAAGTCCTATTTAGGGAATAAAAAAGTTTAAGTCCTAGATTAGGAAAATCATTATGTTTTAGTCCTATTTAATGCAAATTTCACTATTTTATGTAGTGTAAAGTTTATTATGTGACAAATGTGCCACTCTATACGATTGGTTTAAAAATAAAGTTTTCAAGTGTCTACTCTGCACATAATAGTCGCACATGGAATAACATATTGTCATATATTCCATCTATTTTACAATCGATTATGAATTATTAGGTACTAAGTATATTAGATTTTAAATGAATAAAGACATAGAATACGGAATAAGTACATGCATGTCCCAATGTGACTTGTACAATGTTTAAGAATCAAAGTGTCAAATTAACATTTTCTTTTGGGAGTATAGGATGGGGCATATACAAAAGGCATTCATTTCGTGGGTTATTTAAGGTGGTGCGATTCTTTTGGGGATTTTGAAAGAGTAATTGGGCGATGGACGGAGGCATAAACCAGCCACTGATGTGACTTTTGTGGCGACAACATATATGATGTGGTTTCAATGGTTAACTTTGATTTAGCTCTACATTCTTTTTCTAACATTAAACAAAAATAATCAAAACTCTATACTTGATTGATTCTTTAATATATACTCCCTCCGTCCATTAATTTTTTTCCATTTTTTAGAATGTCCAAAAATTTATTTCATTTTTCTATTTTGGTAATTTTTTTAATGAATATATCACAACACCCACACTTTTCAGTTACACTATTTCTTTTATTATATCACATAAAGAACAAACGTAAAAAGTTTTTACAGTTTTTAACTTTTCTTAATCTCCGTGTCAAATAAAAACGAGAAAAAAATTATTGAACAGATGAAGTATAAAATTCTCGTAGTTAAGTCGGTCGGTAAGAGCAGTGGTAATGGCGCGTAAACCATTTGCCTTGCTTGCCACCTCAGCCTTAAATTGCGTTATGCATATTGAACGTTTCTCTACGCCTGGGAAGTCATACGTGAGGCATTTGTATCCAAATGTTTATTTTTTTTTAAATTTTTTTGTTATTTTAAAAAAAATTAAGAAGAAAGAGAAGTATCTTTGTAAAAAAATAAGTAAAATAATTTCTAATAATTAAAATACATCAAAAAAATTATGAAAAAATGACAAAAATAATAATTCGTCGCTATATGACATACGACTCTACCCACTTGTCACTTGCTGACTAGACCATTTTTCATTGATTAAAATAATACGGAGTATACATCAGTGTATAATACTTAATTTTTGTCTCGCCATTGCTGATAGTCTAAACTTTATTTTTTAGAAGTTTCAAATAAGTTTTAAGTCTAACAACAACATGTTCATTTAATAAAGATGTACAAGTGGAGTTTTCTCATTACTCCATCCGTTCGGCAGTTCCATAATTATTTTCTTACTTTTCTTTTTGCATCCATTCAAAATAACTTTTTAACTTTTTCTTCTCATTCTAACAAGGAATATGATGTCTAAAATATCTTTCTTTAAAAAGAAAACGAGTTATTACAATCACTCACAACTTTAATTTATAATTTTATTTAATTTTTCTGTAAATTTAAAACGAAAAAACTACGGATTAATTTAGACGATAGGAAGTACCATTTGGGCTCTTTATTGGGTATATTGATATAAATATGTTATTTGGACCACTAATCTGGTCCAAGCTCCTAATTATCCAATATAATAAGCCTACGGCCCGAATGCGTTTAATTGTCAATCTCGCTAAAAGTCCATGTTCATTAATAATAAGGCTGGACCACACCATAAAAGTTAAAAACGAGGCCGAATGGAATGTCTACAGCTATGAGTAGGCAGCACTTTAATTAACCCGTTTTTTGGGCCGATTAGGAATCAAGTGGACCACATGCGACTGTTAACGGTTAAGTCTTTATACAGAAATGGCAGCCCCATTAATGATGATTAATTAATGAATGAATCTCCTTTCAAATGTTATGTTCTTGTGTTTTCTTGCACCAATTTTAAGACAAGTGATATTCTCTTGTTTAAATCTATGAATAATATTTATAGAGATTAAAAAAGAGAAATTAAACCATAAAAAGAATTCTTGTACGTGATAGGATATTAATTCAATTATTTTTCAAAGATTTGTTAGAGGGAAGATTCTAGAGAATTCAAAAATTGGTGGAGATGTGTAGAATTCTCTAGAATGTTGTGGAATTTTATAGAGAAGTGAAGTTTCTAGAAATGTGTAGAATAGTGTTAAAGTTTTTACAATTTTCTAGAACTTTCTAGAGAAGCGTGGAAGTCTATAGAAGCGTGTGGAAGAATGCAGTGTACTCTAGCCTATTGTAGAACTATGTGGAGTCTTCTAGATTCATCTAGAACATTATGGAAGCATGTGGAAACTTCTACAAGATTCTAGAGATAAAGAGATGTGTGGAACATTCAAGAAGCCTAGCCTTGGTGGGGAGTATAAATCGGGGTGTGGATGCCTCATTTTTGCAATGAATGTGGAGGAAGAAGAGAGTGAAGAACCAAAATGGCTTCTTAAGAGTGCTTGTGAGTGAGGTGTAGAGAGGTGTTCCTAATACAAAGAGTGAAGTGTGCTATCCGTGTAATTGTAATCTCTCTTGTACATTTTTTCTATATAATACAAAGTCATTTTCTAAAGTCGTGTTTTTGTGTTATTGAGTGTGTGTCAGTGTTTGTGAGTGTGCGAGAGTTTGGTTGTGTGAATCGGGGAAAGAGGTCGAGACAACCGTCAATTCTCTAACAGTACGGAGTTTATATTTTTTTACTCTGTATCTTTTTAGCATTTCAACATAAATCTTCATTTCTATCTATAACCGGCTAGACCTATTAAGAATTCCAGTCTCTAAGTTTAGAAAATCAAATATTTCTAATAAAACGTTAATAAAAATTCAATAAAAAATAAAATTTCAACATACATATTCATTATTTTGTCTCACTATTGCCAACAAAGTATCGTGTTTTATCCCTCTAAAAGTTGAAGTGTATCTATCTTATACCTGCCTCTCATATTATAGATTAATTTTTATGTAAAAAGAGTAAAAATAGAAGTTAAAATTAGGGATGACAACATGTCGGGTTGTAACCGGGTGAATATTCACCTTCATCCATCAATAGTCCATTTATCATCCATCCATTACCTTTTGCCATTATCTTCTCGTACTCATCGGAGTTTGTGTCCATCTCCGGCCATATATGATGTCATCCTTTTTCCCAGATCATTGGTTCCACGGCGGAGATGGATGACGTTCCATGAACTCAAGGAGACTGCAGAAAGTAAGAAGAGGAAGGAGATCATTATTAATAAAATGATTGAGTCAAAAAAGGGCCTTTCTAATTGGGATTGTGGAAAGGTCACTGGCTACCTTTTATTTTTGAAGCATATACCAAACCATTATTGGTCACCAAATTAAATTAAAGAAAGGCAAAGTATGTAAAACCAAAATTGCCGACAAAATCTCTCCCTACTCTGTACTCTGTTCTATACCCTCCTCCACTCAAAACCTACTCCCAAAATCTCTCTAATAATTATTCTTATTATTCAATTTGTTCATCACCACATAATGCCAAACTCAACCCTGGACAAAACATTACTACTCTCTCTAATTCTCTTCTTCTTCTTCTTCATTATCCAATGCCCCATTTTGGCCCTCCCCTCAAATCCCCAATTTAGAGAAGCCCCCCAGTTCTACAATTCCCCATTTTGCCCCTCCCTCTTCTCCCCCGCCGGCGTTTCGTTTCCCGGCCTCTGCTTTGACAACGCCGTGCATATAGCCATGACCCTCGATTCGGCTTACCTCCGGGGATCGATGGCCGCCATTTTCTCCGTCCTCCGACACTCTTCTTGCCCGGGGAACGTCGTCTTCCACTTCGCCGTCTCCGCCTCCGGCGACGGCGCGTCCTCGCTCGGCGCCACCGTCGCCGAGTCTTTCCCTTATCTCCGGTTCCGGATTTACCCCTTCGACGACGCCGCGGTCGCCGGGCTGGTCTCCACTTCCATCAGGGAGGCTCTGGACTGCCCTCTCAACTACGCGCGGAACTACCTCGCCGATCTCCTCCCTAAAAATGTAAGCCTGAATGAATAATTCTATTAACATGAAGAGGATGTTTTATACAGAGAGTTGCAACTCACCTAAACTACAATTATGGGAGCCGCTGCTATACATTTGGAGAGGACCTATTCTAATGCTAAATAAGAGGGATAACACTGCAACAACAATTTGAATATTCAAAATAATATTTGACTAAGTATTATCCTTAACACGCCCCCGCAAGATGGAGGATCCGTCAGAGACTCCAATCTTGGACCGAAACCGTTGAAATAACGTAGTACCCAAGGGTTTAGTGAGGAGATCTGCGGGTTGGTCATGCGATGAGATATGGCGCACATGTAGGCGGTTGGCATCAACGAGATCACGAACAAAGAAGTAGTCGAGAGCCAGGTGTTTCATGCGTGAATGAAACACAGGATTTTTGCAGACAT